CCTGGAGCTTGTAAATTGATATCAGAGAAAGACTTGTGTGATAAAACATAATAAATGCCAAGAACTCTTACAGCAGGTGATTTCACACAGAAACAGGATCTTAACACTTTCCAGGGACCGGTGGGGGGCTACAATCATGCTAAGCTATTATTAGCTCTTTCAGACTCCAGTGAGGGGCATTGCTGTCCACATACTGTAGGTAGTAACTGGACACAAAACGAGACGCTCAATGTATGATTTGAAACGCTCTACATGCACTGCAACTCCAATAATGCTGACTTGCACAGATCTGAACTATGTTGGTTTGTATGTTGATTTTTTTCTTCTTTTTTTTGTGGTGCCTTGTTGTTATATTTTTATTATAATTAAAAGTCAATAAACATTATTTATGTATATACATGTAAAAATGTAATTGCGATTTTTTTTTAATCTCATAATTCTGACTTTTTATCTCACAATTAAAAGTTTACATCTCGCAATATTGACTTTTTATCTCAAAATTGCCTGAAACAAACACGCAACTGTGGGAGAAAAAGTCAAAATTGTGAGTTTATATCTCGCAATTCTGACTTTAACAAGCAATTGTGAGTTAATATCTCGTAATTGTGAGTTTTATATCTCGCAATTCTGACTTTATAACGCTCAATGGTGAGTTTATATCTCGCAATTGTGAGTTTATATCTAGCAATTGTGACTTTATAACACTCAATTGTGAGTTTATTTCTCGCAATTCTGACTTTATAACACGTAATTCTGAGTTTTATATCTCGCAATTCTGACTTTATAAGGCTCAATGGTGAGTTTATATCTCGCAATTGTGAGTTTATATCTCGCAATTGTGACTTTATAACGCTCAATTGTGACTTTATAACACTCAATTGTGACTTTATAACACTCAATTGTTAGTTTATATCTCGCAATTGTGACTTTAACATGCAAGTGTGAGTTTATATCTCGCAATTCTGACTTTATAACGCTCAATTGTGACTATAACACTCAATTGTGACTTTATAACACGTAATTGTGAGTTTTATATCTCGCAATTCTGACTTTAACATGCAATTGTGAGTTTATATCTCGCAAATTTGACTTTATAACACGCAGTCGCAATTGTGACTTTAACATGCAAGTGTGAGTTTATATCTCGCAATTCTGACTTTATAACACTCAATCGCTCACAATTCTGACTTTATAACACTCAATCGTTAGTTTATATCTCACAATTCTGACTTTATAACACTCAATCGTTAGTTTATATCTCACAATTCTGACTTTAACATGCAATTGTAAGTTTATATCTCAAAATTCTGACTTTATAACACGTAATTGTGAGTTTATATCTCAAAATTCTGACTTTATAACACAATTGTGAGTTTATATCTCAAAATTCTGACTTTATAACACTCAATCGTTAGTTTATATCTCACAATTCTGACTTTATAACACTCAATCGTTAGTTTATATCTCACAATTCTGACTTTAACGTGCAATTGTGAGTTTATATCTCAAAATTCTGACTTTATAACACAATTGTGAGTTATATCTCAAAATTCTGACTTTAACATGCAATCGTTAGTTTATATCTCAAAATTCTGACTTTATAACACGTAATTGTGAGTTTATATCTCAAAATTCTGACTTTATAACACAATTGTGAGTTTATATCTCAAAATTCTGACTTTATAACACGCAATTGTGAGTTTATATCTCGCAATTCTGACTATATAACACAAGTGTGACTTTATATCATGCTATTTTGATTTTATATCTCAGAATTCTGAGAAATAAAGATGTAAACTTGCAATTGTGAGATAAAAAGTGCTAATTATCTTTTATAATGTTTTATTCTGTGGCGGAAACAAGCTTCCATAGTTTTACTACGTTTCAGTGTGGACGAGTAACTTTTGGAAAACGCTTGTGTGGATGGACACCATTTTGAAACAAAAATGACATTTTCAAATGTCTCCAGAATAATTTAGACGTATAGCATAGGCATAGAGATGCTACAACTCGTTCTATCCTATAAAATCCCATCATGCCTTGTGTAAAATAAGCAGCCCACTCACCTGCTGGTACTAATCCACTGCAAAAGAACTGAGCATTGACCTTCCGTGTGTGTGCGTGTGTGTGTGTGTGTTTGTGCACCTCCTAAGTATCTCTGTAAGGCCTGGTATAATGAGACGACATGCCACCAAAACTGACAGCACAAAAAACCACTAGTCAATTGTTCTCCAAACACGGCGAAAGCGCCTAAATAAAAATGTCACATTTTGACTTGCCTCCATGCAAATTAATGGCTTGGTGGGCTATAAAACAGACGTTACGTGAAATCAAATCATCTCTATAGACATAAAAACGCTCTGATCAAGTGCTCATTTCTTCTCCTTTTGAGTGCGCTCAAACAGCTCGACTCCCTCTTCAATTACTTTGTGTGTCAACAGACAGCTCGCGGCACTGAGGCCACGCCGCTGAGACGTCTGTTTTCTTACTTAATGACAACTGATAGCTGGAGTCAGGCAGGTTATGAGTTTCAATTTGGGTTTGGCAATAATAACAATTACAGCCCTCAATATCTCTATCATTACAGCGTGGCTGTTGCAATATAGCACGCTGTTTTGTGGAGTATGAGTCCGTCATATGCTGTTTCACAGCCAGAGCTGCATAATCAAACAGACGTGGCTAAACACACACTGCCTCTCTATCCGTCCCGTGCATCTTTGTGCATTTGCACAACTTCACACACACACACTGTTGTACTCATTTGCTTCATGTTAATGAATGATGGTTATTACTTTGTAACCTACGGATTACACTTGAACTTCATTTGCCCTGTGAAGTCGACATGAAATCAAAATTGGCCCCATTTACTTTCTTAATAGACATTTTTGGCCTAATTTTTGATGATCCATTGGCACGTGTTATTCACAAGGAAGATAATCTTTTTGTAATCTTTAATCAAAATGTAAAACATTTCTCTGCCTCTGAAATCCTCTTCCCTATGTTGATTTTTTTTTTGTTGAATATCTTTTCTCGCTTGGACATGTGACATTACAGAAGTACTGCAGGCGACAAATAAAAATGCTTAAAGAATGCTGATAATTCTCTTAGTTTGTTATATATATATATATATATATATATATATATATGAAGAGTTCAGATGCAAAAGCCTCTAAATGCCATTTGAAATTTTCTTCTTTAATGATGATTTTTTATCAAACTTGTATATTTAAGTTCAGTAATTTCACTTAAACGGCAATGATAATTACCTATTAATTGTTATTTAAGAGAAATTACTGAACTTACATATACAAGTTTGACAAAAATCATCATTAAAGAAGAAAATTTAAAATGTCACTTAGAGGCTTTTGCATCTGAACTCTTCATATATATATATATATATATATATATGAGCAAAATTATAAATGCAACACTTTTGTTTTTGCCCCAATTAGTCATGAGCTGAACTCAAAGATCTAAGACTTTTTCTATGTACACAAAAGGCCTATTTCTCTTAGATATTGTTCACAAATCTGTCTAAATCTGTGTTAGTGAGCACTTCTCCTTTGCAGAGATAATCTCACATGTGTGGCATATCAAGATGCTGATTAGACAGCATGATTATTGCACAGGTGTGCCTTAGGCTGGCCACAATAAAAGCCCACTCTAAAATGTGCAGATTGGGGGGGTCTGAAAACCACTTTTGATAGTGTAAATTACTATCAAATTACTATAAACACATTCAAAGACACGACAATAATTGTAATTGTATTCATTTATTTTACATTATTGTTATTATTATTATTATTATTATTATTAATAAAAATAAGGTAAAGGACTAAATTGTCATGATGATTGCAATAATAATGTCACAGTGCCAAAAAATCTTTGTGGTCCTCGAAAATTAGTCCTTCTTTCTATGCAAAAGGTAATTTCCTAATTGTTTCTTTTAATAATGAGTGTGAATTCCAGGACTGGAAGAGTAATGAAAATTAATAATTTCAAGAGGTCATGCAAAAAAAAAAAAGCTAATTTCTGCATTTATATACATTTTTTCTTTGTTACACTTAGTTCAAAAGTATTTCTTTAGGCAAGGAATTACAAATAGGTCTTAAACAGCCGTAACAAACAACTTGAAAAGTCATTAAAAAAAAAAGTGGGAACCCTGGCTGTTAACAGGTTTTGTGAGAATTAAGAATTACACTAAAAACAACAACAAACAATCATATCTTGCACATCCCTACAGCTTCTTACAGCAAAGATGACAGATTTTCTTTCTACAAGACATTTCTGTCAGAACATTCCAGTAATAGTTATTGTGAAATTTCATGTAAATGACGTGACCGCCGCACATTATCCACTCAGAATAACACGCGAACCAAAGCGACGGCGGCCTGTGGCGTTACGGCCCGCGGCGTCGACGTGCGTCACATGGCATCTGGAAGTGCCTGTGATTCTCCAGCCTTTAGAAAAGGATGGAGCCATTAGTTTCATCATCATTTGTGAGAGGTTGAGTGTTCTGGTGTGATGCTATCTGTCTCGGCGCTGGAGGAGGACATATGGGGGAGCGGTGACCCGAGTATATACGCCTGATAAAAATAGCTGTGAATATGCTCCGTGAGAGCAGTTCTGGGATTAGGAGCCGGTGATGGAGGGGCCGTCAGTGAGCTAAAGTCTGCGGTGCTGAGCGGCACCTGTTTAGATTCACTTGGCTTTTTTTTTTTATTCAATCCCCAGTGCACATTGTTCAATTTATGACATGGTTTTTGCAGTATGAGACAAATTTGGGTTTCGTTTAAGTTTTCTTGTGTCTTATGGTAAAATCGGCACGTATAGACTATAGTCTTTTGGTCTATTGTAAGTATAACCCCGATAACGATAGCAAATTTGGGATTAATCTTAGTCTAATAGCAATTGATGATGATGTGACAGATGTTGTTAAAAATGTTGATAGCTTGTTTATGTGATAGACAACATAAGTCATTATGTACCGTTCCTATTACCTGAAGATAGCTCTGGAGAATCAGCAGTCCGTGACCTCTTTTGCCCAGCGACATCAACCCCTGACACTTCAATTCATTTGTTTCCTTTTCCTGGTAAAACATAACTGACATTAGTGCTTTAAGGTTTATGCAGTATAATTTCAATGTATCATAAACTCCTAGTCAACACTATCAATCATGAGCACAGTCTTAGATGTATATCGTACAGATTGGCATAATTGACATATGTAAAATATGACAAGCTACATACAGTAATCTTAAAGTAACCTGCCATTTTCAAATATATTAAAATACAAAACAGTTTGTAATATTTCACAATATTTTTCATTTTTACTGTACTGTTTTTGATTAAATGCACACCTAAAAATGAGAATGAGAATTTCCAAAAAACAACAAAAATCCCACTAATATATGTATATATAAAATGATTTAATTAATTGACCGTTACAATTTTTTTTTTTGCCATCTATTGTAAGTATAGCAAATAAAATTTTAATGAAGCCAAAAATAGAAAAACAAAAGCAATTAATTTATTCATGCCGCAAAGCACTCTGGGAGTACACTTCCTCGGATCACAGACAGAATTAAGTTGACAAAACTTAAATGGATTAAGTAAGAGTAACTTTATGCAATTAAGTTAATGAAATTAGGGCAACGAGTTTGCATAAAAAAATAAGTAAACTAAACTTATTGGTTTTTGTAGTGAAGAAACACTGGTACAGAAATACGTTTTTATTGTTTATTTGATTATTTTAAAAATTAAAATTTGATTTAAAAAAAATAATAATTAATTAATACGATTGTTTTGTATTCCACTGATGAATTTTGGGGTGAAATGTGCTAAATTTTACTTCAAATACAAAATAAATTTGTAGTGGTCGCAAAAATAGGCGTCCTTGTCTTCATGTAAAATATTATTTCTTTTGTTTTCTTTTTGCTATTCAGTCAAAAATATCTCAGACATGAACACTGACAGGTTTCATGAGATGCCATGTTACTTTGTACCAACAAGTCAAAGTTTGCACTGCTATCCATGACTACAAATGGTCAGAGACTGCATTTAAATTGAAGTGGGAAGCCTGTCAGGGTGAATCTGTTCTGTTGAAGCCTGTTTAGGGCTTTTCACTGCTCGTCCTGTATACAGTGGTCAGTTCATTTCCTCTGTGTGTGCCTGCAGGGGAAGTCAGACTGAGTCTGGGCTCGTCATCTTCAGCGCTTGGCGCTCTGCCTTCACATAGAGCTCTTTGATATTGGCCTGTCAGGGGGCATCGGAGAAGACGAGCCTAAGAGGTCTGGGAATGTCCAGTCTTTCTTACACATATACACACACAAACAGGGCCCGAGGTGAGATTATGATATTCTCGGTGGGAAAAAAATGGGCATTATATTAAAAATCCACTCCAACGTGATAAGAGACAGTGTTGAAAGAATCGTTTATTTAGTGCAAGACATTAAATGTGAACAAATCACACTTAAGGTCCGTTCACACAAAGGACGATAACTATACCGATAAAGATATAGTTAAAAATCATTGTAAATATAAAAGAATAGCAGAGTCCACTAGTTGTGGTCTCGTTGGAATAACTTTCAGAATGATTTTTTTTTTCCAGCTGATGAATGATTAAAAACATTGACAGCCAATCAGAAATCACCAAATTTTAAAAAGCGTGGGCATTTAAACCGGCAGACGACACAACTGGAGCGCACTCATAATAAAAACAATATATGAACAGCTAATGTAGTTATTGTTATAGATCTTGGTGTGAACGGGCCTTTTAATGTAGAAAAAGACTAAAAGTACGTACTGGAAATTATTATATATTATATTAATTAAATTCAATAAATGAAATGCATAGACAACAGCTTAAAAAAAGAAAAAAGTAGTTTATAGTCTGACAGTGTTGTATTATCAATGATGAAAATATTTATTATCAATGATGAAACTGCTTAATATTTTTGTGGAAAAACTGGGAAACATTTAAAAGAAAAAAGAACAGCATTTATTTACTCTTTGATAACATAATTAATTGATTTAATGTGACCTTGCTGAATAAAAGTACTCATTTCTTAAAAAGTATTTCTTAACCCAAACTTTTGATAGATATATACGTATATATATAAGAAAAAATATTATTTATTATTAATAATAAATAATGATATATAAATAATATTTGTATACAAATAAAAATATTATTTATATATTATTATTTATTATTAATCGTGATTAATTGTTTGACAGCCCTAAAAAATAGCTTACTGTAAAAATAGCGAAGGTGTTTATTGGGTGCCATTGGGCTTTATGTACAGCTGCACTACTTCCTGAACTTCAGCCAGCTCCCTGTTTCCTGTCTGCCATTATTGGGCAAAATTGATTAATTCAGGTGTGTCTGATTATTGTTGCCATGACTACTGAGGTCAAGCACACCTGAATTAATCAATGTGTCCAATAATGGCAGACAGGAAACAAGGAGCTGGCTGAAATTCAGGAAGTAGTGAAGCTGTGCATAAAGCCAATTGTGCGCTAGAAACTTTTTTAGCAAATTTTTTATAGACCATCTATTGCTGACCTGGTCGATCTCTAATGTATCGCCCATAGGATGGGATGAATAATAATTATTAATAATAATAGGATAATTATCGCCCATGGGAAAGCCCATTTTTTACATTTGAACAAAAATAAAAATTAAAATAACAAACAGATAGAACAACCAAGAAGAAATGAACATCTATAATGTGAAGCCTACAGTGAATCAAGTTCCTTAGTAACATATTAAGTGAAATTATTATAAATAGCATCTATTTATCAAATAAAGTTTCTTAATTTCTTCCAGTAACTTTCCCATTTTTCCAAAGCATGCCTTAAGAAAAAGACCCGTTTCATGCTGTATATTTCGTTCGTAATTTCTATCCATTGCGATGAAGTAGTAGGGTCTATGTTCAACCATTTACGAGTAATGCCTTCTTGCTTGCTGCTTGTAAGATTTGTAGCAGATATCAGTCTATGGGAAATCCATTGTTATCGCTTGATGCTATCTCCTAAAGCGACGTGACCCAAGGGTTGCACTGTAGCGACCCGCCGGGAATACGTGGTTTACTTGCACGTCGACCCAAGAATTTGAAATAAATTCTCATTGAGGCTTGGATCTCTAGAAGGTACAGAAATAAGGCACTGCAGCACGGCTGTCATCTCTTACTACCCTTCAGTCCCTTTGAATGCAAGATGTCAGCCCATCAGCATTAGCACGGACCTCGGAAATACCACCGGATTCCTCGGCTGTATATCCATGGGAAGTGAAATGTTTTTACTTCTTATGTCAACCACATCCAAACAAATCTATAAAATGTCGTGTTCCTCCAGCATTGGGCTGTCTGGAGCGCAAGATTAGGGATTTATGAAGACGGAGTTAAACGCAAGGGTCAGTTTTGTCTGGGATTTGGCCCGTTCAACATGCATCTTCTCTAATGCAGTCGGACGTCTCACTAAAAGGAGAGATTGTGCTCCAAAGCATCCGTTTCTCTCTCTTTCTGCATCTAGGAGCCCAAGACGCCGATACAGGCCTGAGTGACGCTTCCTCAAAGTGAGCCGGTGAAGAGGATCGGATGAAGTGAGTGAGTGCGTTAAATAGGGCTTGGACACCTCAGCATGATAATTTTGTAGCAGAGGAATCTGACGGGCCTTATGCTGAGTCGGCAGTCTGTTGGAGACTGGCAGGCGTGGCCTTTTATCCCTCCACATGTTTCACAGCAATTGGACAATCAGCCACTGCAGTGAAAATCCATAGTATCGATCGGCCCTGTATCTTCTCTATAATTCTCCAGCAGGAAATCCCTGATGACAAATTATATCTGCACCAGTTTTTGATTGGTGCTTTGATGTAAGCGATCTCCTAGGGCAGGCGCGGGAACCGGGCCCGGGTTTATTATTACATGACGGTCTACGGTCAGACTTCACGGTCCCACAGCCTAAACTACCCATCAGACCCCAAAAACAAAAGTAATGTAACAGTTCAGGCAGAAAATAAACTTCTGGTCATTATTTATTCACTCCCATGTGTACTGTTTCTAGGAATCAGAAAATAATAATGATTTTGAATACAATGGGGGTGATTAAATGACCGAATTTGTCTATTTTTATTTCATAGACTGTTCTTTTTTAAACAATAACCATATAGGATTAAAGGATTTAGAATATCGTCATGCAGAAAAAGTCTTTATAAATACTACTAAACAGTCAATATCCTCGTAACATGCATGCTAATAAGCAACTAGTTCTACACCTGAACTAAAGTGTTTCCAGAAAATTAATACTTTTATTAAGCAAGGGTGTATTAAATTGATCAAGTGACAGGAAAATCATTTTTAATGTTACAGAAGTGCTTTGGGCTTTCTATTTATCAAAGAATCCTGAAAAAAATCTGTATTGTGGTTTCCACAAAGATATGCTGCAGCAAAAACGTTTTTTTGACATTTTCTTGAGCAGCAAATCATCATATTAGAGTGATTTCTGAAGGAAGACTGGAGTAATGATGCTGGAAATTCAGCTTTTGCATCACAGGAATAAATTACATTTTAAAATATATTAAAATAGAAAACTGTTCTTTTAAATTGTAATAATATTTCACAATATTACTGTTTTTACAGTATTTTTGAGCAAATAAATGCAGCCCTGGTGATCATATACATATACTATCAAGACTTGGAATATAGGGCACAAGTTGTATGGATTAATATGGTGATCTTTTTGATACTTATAATGTCTCTTGGTCACCATATACAGTATATTGTCATGATGTCCCTCAGTATTATCAATGGTTAGACACACATACACACCACTGACAGAACAGTGTAATCAAAATGATGCATGACAACACACAGTCCATCAGTGTCTCGTTCTTCTTCGGTTTAGAGTGACACTCTGTCCGGGAAGGAGAGACTTGAAGGTGACTGTCTGGAAGAGCACACACACACATCATCAGATGCGAACACACAAACACACATATAGATCAAAACGTTCCAATAAACGTTTCTTGAGCATCAAATCATCATATTAGAATGATTTATGAAGGATCATGTGACACTGAAGACTGGAG